CGAAAACAAGAGCGAGAGACCTTGCTCCTCGGACGGCTTGATCCGGATGAAGCGCTCGAAGATGAGGCCGGTGTGACGATGATGATGTCCTGCTTCTACACGAGCGACAAGTCGGACGCGCGTCCGAACATGTACCACAGCCACGGTTCGGTAGTAGCCTCCGGCATATTGACAATAGTGTGATAACAGTAATAATATGCATATTACTTCTACTATAGCACTAAGGAAATGGCATAAGTAGTGCTATATCTACTAGTATTTTTTTTTAAAAAAAAGGAGCGTTGTAGTGATATTAGCACTAATATAAGTACTACTCCGAGAAAGCCGCGAGCCCTTTGAAATCCTTCAAGGTCGCACGTAGCTGTCTACCCCTTTTGGCTTCTCTTCACTTCTGTATTCGCATAACAAAAGCCACAACTGATGTGGTGTACTAAGATAAACTGCTGCTGGCAAGACGTGCCGGAGACAAATCTCTGCATGCGAACGAGCCTCAGCGCAACCTCACTTCACCAGCTACAGAGAGCGCGGAGTGTGACAGCGCTTCGGACCCCCAAGAGGACTTATTGTATGGTGATGAAGTCTGTCTGGTAGCCGACGAGAGCCTCTCTGAAGATTCGGTAAATTTTAAGACCGATGGTGTGCTAGATGAGTTGCTGAACTGTCGGGTTGACTAGGAGGAAGTAGTGAAGCAGCTGCTTCCTGATAAGAAGGAGTGGGAGAAGGTGATACCGAAACTTACCGGTACGAATAAACACGGTCAGCGTGTATGGCAAGTGAAACTTGTATGCCAGCATGTTGATGTGTGCCGCTGGTACATCGAGACAGGACAAAAGCTATTCCCTTCGTAGCTCGTGTGTGGTTCGGCCGTAGTATTTCAACTGCCTTTCATGAAAAAGTTTTTTTCGACTGGATCCTAAGTCACGAGTCGTCTGCGCACTAGGACCGATAACAAACGAGCTCAACAGCAGCTGATTCTTCGCCACAACCGCATGGAAGAGAGCTAGCACCGTATTTAGCTACGGTTTCAGTCGTTAGTAGTGATAATAGTAGTTATATTAGTAGTGATAGTGATATCGCCATCACGCAGACTACTAGCATGTTACTAAAATATATTTCAAGATCGGGTTGTGCATATCACTATCACTACTAATCAGAATTCCCGCTACTACCGAACCCTGACCACAGCGAGCACAACAGCGCTACGTTTTGATATTCGCTTGAAGTGAACGCATTTCTATACAAATAATATTTCGGCAAGTTATATTACTCCTACAGCGCATTAATATCTGCATTGCTATATTTCACCTCAAAATGTGTATTACACTGCCGCTTTGACCGACAATTTGCCAGGACACCCTACCGGGGTCCTTCTTTGCGATGGTTCATCGCTACTTTGCGTTGCTCGAGCTCCTTGGCGCAGAAGACGAAGGCAGTATTGAGTACGTGTACTCTCTCCAGTCGGTAATCGCCCATTGGAAAAGCTGCGCGCCCGGTTAAAGGACACTGACTCCAGTGTCCACAGATCTACACAACCAAGTACGCTCATAGACGCTTCAAGACTCGCTACGCACGCAGCTCATTGCGGACCATTCCAGCATTTGTCGCCTATATCGGTAAGTTTCTGCTGCTGCTAACGTATTCACTCAGATTTTCTATTTGTGTATATATTCCGCTCGCCGAGTCACGTGCAATTAATGCCCACCGCCCCGACTTGAGGAGGACTGTGTTCGTGTCATAGGAGAAAGTGGCGTTGGGGGGGGGGGGCAGGCAGCGTTGCCAAAAGCTTCGTTCAGCAAATCAAGAAATGTCGCCGGATCGAAGCGCTAGAAGCTTGTGTGGTGTAGTGATTTCTCCGTAGTTGCGGATTATCACCCGTCGACAAAGACGTGACACCGCCCAAGATGTTCAAGCGACGAACCCTCGGTCAGGTGATGTACGGAGACACCAAGGTGCCAGGGACTCGACGGCGTCACCTCCGAACGTTCAACGAGTATTGGATACGGGCATATGTCACTGAATCCAGGCTGTCCTTATTATTAATAATGGACTGGCCGGATTCGCATTCAGCGGACCATCTACGGTACGAACCCTCAGTGGCGGTTGGGATGAGTTCGCAGAAGACTCAGCGACCCTTGGAAGGCACTTTCACCGTCTGGGACAGGGCGCGGACCGTTAAAGATGCTCATGCGACGGTGCAGACGACGCTTGGCATGCAAGAAGATCCATAACGGATCATTGCTCACTTGATATTTGTATACTTGATTAGGACTTCTTATTAGGAATAGACCCGAAAGGGTAAGCTTAAATACAGAACAGAATTTCCACTCAAGCACACAGAGCGACGTCCGGCTTCAAGGTAAGCGTCTGGTCAAGCTTGTTTGAGTGTGTTATGCCTGTCGGTGAACTCGAAGCTCTGTATCGAGGGTTCATCCGGCAAGGCCAAGAGACTGTGTATTTTGGCCGATTACTATCGGGAGGTTTTACGTGACGGCTTATTGTTGCCTATTTGCACGACTGGGAGTGCTTGTATTGCATCCCTTTTATTCTTCCAGCCGAGTGTTGAGCACTCGGTGATCTCGTAAAAGGCTTACCCGTGCCTGGTACCCTTCCGCTGTTGGGACCACGAGGATTCAAAACACCTGCTAGCTTTGCTCGTGCTAGTAGCGTGTTCTTATTTTTACTGGTTGGCCTATATAAATAGTTTACAAGGTCCAGTTTGTCCCGGTGCAAGGGCAGAACTGGGGTCTTCAGGTCCGCCCCAACGATCGTTTACTATCCTAGTAGACGTATTGTTGTGGGAACATCCTAACTACATATGTAGCTAGAGTTCACGTGGGATTTCCAACACCACACAATGGTCGGTGCGACGCCATTTCAATCCTCGGCGTAGGGTCCACGTCGTTCAGCGTCGCCAGCTCATTCATCTGACGCATCAACCCGACTTGAGGATCTTCCTCGTCGAATGTACGCACCAAAATGTCATCGTCACTGGACGAACCATCGTTGTCGACTTGACGACGTCCGGCACCACCTTTGGGAGCTCGCGCACCGCCTCGGCGACCGAACGAACCCTCGTTACCAGCGTAAACACGTTGCATACGGCTCTCCGAACGTGGCGCAACCATGTGCAAGGCTTGAAAGTACGGTGAAGCTTCGGTAGTGCCAAAGGCACCACGCTCAGCTCCACGCTTGGTCGGAGGAGTACGAACGAGTCGTTGGAGTGTCGGCGGCAGTGGAATCGTGGACGGATCTTCATCTTGAACGATCGATCGACTCACAAGCCGCTTTCCGGCATTGATGCCAACAGCGCCAAACGCCTTCCGAAGCTTCTTCTTCCATTTCTGGAGGGCAGCTCCAGCTTCATGTGGACTCCAACCTTGGAGCGACATCGTCGAAGGGTACGTCTCGTTCTCGAAGCCCAGCGACAACAGTAGCGAAACTGAATCCTCGGCAACTTGGCTAGTCGACACCGAGCTGACTGGGTATTGAAGTTCCTGCGCAAGCGCAG